CGCAGGGGGCCATGCTAATCTTCTCTTTCTCTGTATCGTTCCAATTTTAACAGATGTCCGAAGGACAGCCATAGCCAGGGTTATGAGGTGGCGAGGCGAGGAGGAAGAAGAAGACTCCTGGCAGTGCATACTTCGTTGAACACTTGTTTTTGGTTGTTCCGGGTTGTTGTACAAAACGCGCCGTAAAAAAAAAAAAAAAAAAAAAAAAAAAAAAAAAAAAACGCGGTTGTGATTCTTGGAACAAGTACTCTGGATTGATTGGAGGAGGACGGGGGATTACAGAATTGAAATTCTTTTTTTAATTCTCTGTGTATTCTGAGCTTCCGCTGTGCATATCTTCTCTCCGGTTTTCTGTGGATTTGCCTCCTTCCAGTCTGCTCTGCAATTCCATACGTGTATGGGAACGTGTCAATTGGTTGTGGATTGAAGTTCAATCGGGTAGTACATAACAGTGTCGCCATGATGTCGTGATAACTTGCAGCAGTGTCTGTTTTTATTCTTTATGTTTTTTCCCCCACCTTACCGCGGAGTTGTTGATATTTTGCGCCTCGCCATACCACTGTCAAAAGGAAAAGCCAACGAATGAATCTTCCCGCAGAGAAGGGCAGGATGCATCCGCTACTATGAATAGCAGCGGATGCATGGCAGATGCGTTGGTTCTCTTTTTATTTCGACGGTGGTGTAGCGAGGCCCTTCATCAGAGTGCGTGACAACACAGAAGTTTTCTTCACAAAACCTGTATTCCCACCAAGTAACCCCGGGGTTTCAGTCACCAACCTGTTTCCCATGCTACTACAGTATGCTGAGGTCGGACATCAGCTCTCAAATTTACCTAGGTCAGATATCATTTCACAACTGGCTCTACATTTTTTTATTTCGCCGCCCCCCCCCCCCCCCCCCCCCAAAAAAAAAACAAGCACATGAGCAGGGTCGGCCATTCAGAGAGGTAGCAGCAGCCTCTCGAAAAATGGTTGTGAACTGCACCTGCTGGAAACCATGTCCAGCGTCCCAGTGCCTGGTTCCACTTGGTATGTCTAGCAATTTTATTTTGTTTTTGTTTTAGTTTGTACGTTGTGCTCCCGAGGGATGTATCACGTTCATGTGAAGAAAATAACACATCAGGCCTCATGAATAATAGTGTCATCCACAGTGATTCCACACACACACACACACACACACACACACACACACACACAGAGAGAGAGAGAGAGAGAGAGAGAGAGAGAGAGAGNCACACACACACACACACACACACACAGAGAGAGAGAGAGAGAGAGAGAGAGAGAGAGAGAGGGAGAGAGAGAGAGAGAGAGAAATGGCCTTCTCTATTAAAATACTTGATCAAATAAAACAACATTTTATGAGTGAATTGGATGAAGGGAAAACCTTCGTCCACGTCACTTATTATCGATCCCAAAGGCCCCAGAAACATTGTCTCAATTCAATGAACACACTCAGCACATGATAGTGTGACTAAGTGCGACCGTTCACACTCGATCCCGACGAGCCGCTTGCTCCCTCGCCCTGCGGGCCACGCGAGATCGGAGAGCATCTCTGAGCTGACGACCGGCAGCTCTTGCAGACTCACGCATCAGCGTCGGTGGTGGGGCTGGTGGATCTTCATTGTCACTGTCTTCGTCCTCCTCGTCATCAGACCTCTCCAGGCGACGGTCCATAGCAACGCCCTCGTTTATCAACAAATTGTGAATGATGCACAGCGCTCGGAACTGGATGCAGAGGGAGTTGATATGCGGCTTGTGCGTGTGGAGGAACATCCTCCACATGTTCTTCAAACGACCAAAGGCGGCTTCTACACATCCCCTGAACCTCAACGTCTTTTGTGTGTCGTCAAATAGCGTGTGGTCGCTGCCCTCGGGGTGTTCTCCACCATATGGTACCACCAACCAATGGCAACCATGGAAGTGAGGGATAACCTTGGTCCCCCAACAGGTATCCACAAGCTTGCACATCGGCTTGCAATGCAGCCGGATAGGACATAATCAGAATACCGTTCTCCGCTCTGTCCCACAAGCTTGAATTGCGCAGAACTCTTGCATCGTGCACGGACCCTGGCCACCCCGCATAAACGTCGTAGAACCGAAGATCCGTAGCAGCCACCACCTGGGCGATCATGGAATACTTTCTTCCTCAGTTGCAGTATGCTTGTGCGTGGGCACCGGCTGGCTTGTCTATGGGTACATGTGTGCAGTCTATCGCTCCGTAACAGCGAGGGAAACCTTTCGGTTTGAACCTCACCATAGCTGCAACCTGCCGCGCACCGGTAGGGAAAACAACGTCATCGGAGTGCAGATAGATAGTATAGCGTTTGTCACATCCAGCACAGCCACACGGGCAGTTTCACGACCCAAACCGAACGATGCTGACGAATGCTCGTACGACTCCCCCCTTGCCCAGCGGTACAAAGCTTATCCCAGCACCTGGCCTGGTGGAGGCGGGTTCCGGTAGTGCGTTACGTCTCGCTGGATGACCGGATGAACGA